TTTTTTGCTGCTTTACAACGGCCGGTGATGGATTGTTGTTTCTAATGGCGGAATCTGTTACGCGTCGTAACCGGCGTATTAACCGGGGCTGACGTGAAATCGAACATTCATTTCATAAGCCGACGTTCATCGAATGAACACCGAGAATGCCCCGCAGCTGCTGCGAACGATCGCGTTCTCGCGTGCGTGTGCTTGTTCATTTCGTTCGTGTTTCTGTTTTTCAGTGACAAGAAAAAGAATTAAGAGAGAAGAGAAACGAAAGAAAGGAACAAAAGTAGGTAATAAATTCCGGTTATGAAGCTATAAGAGAAGCCAGAAAATAAAAAAACAGTTATCGTGGCTGAGATCGGTTTCCAAAGACAAAATCGGCGAAGCGTGCTTCCTCTCTTTCTCTATCCGCTTTTTAACTTTATACCCTTGTATATAAAGGAACATTTTGAAATTCGAATAAGCCGAGCTAACAATATTGGAAATTTATAACAACCCCTCTCCATTGGTCTCAGATTATTTCTGTGTGTGTGTGTATGTGTGTTTTCTTTTTGTTTCATTTTTTGAAGTAAAGTCCATACGAAAAGTACGAAGCTTCTTGAAATGACCTGATAATACGCAAAAAGCGTGGATAATTGCGATAATCGATAGGGTATCCGAAGCGGCTGATGGAGGGTGAGGAGGAAAGAGAGGGATGTAGATGGGGAGGGAAACGGAGAGTTGCATTTGGGTTAATCGGGTCTTTTTAAAGCGTATTTACGAGTTAGGAGAGTGGAGAGGAAACTCCTGTATTCATTTGCGGCATGGATCGATGCTGATTGAAAAGTAACGGAAGTGGTATGGAATACGAGGGCTCGTATCGGCAATGTTTGCCGTTCAACTTTGTTCCCGACGTGATTATGAATGTTTCTTTCTGCATCTCGTTTCGATAATTGCCTAACTAGTTTCCCAACTGAAACAACGGCAGTTTGATTGTAAGGATTATAATCAGACCATGGGCTTTTGTGCAGATTCATACATTTCGGGATGTAATTAAAAAAAAAAGCAAGACAGAAAATTATTTTACGTTATCGAACGTTACAGAACATATTGTGCTGATGGATATTTTGTGTGTTTCCTCACGTCATGTATGTGTCTCCCGCGAAATTTTGCATTTTAAAATATTCCGTGCATAAAATGCATAAAAATCTACAATAGGATAATACGTACACTCAGTACAATACTTCGAGTACTATTTCAATTTTAGATAATAAAATTTCATGTTTATTATTTATGTGTACTTTGTAATTTTTTTGTAACTCAGTTGTAACTTACCGGACAAAAATTTGGTATTTGTTTATGTAATATTAAAAATTAGCAACTTTTACATTAAATGTTCTTTTTTCGAGTAATTTATTTTCCGATGTATACATCTTCTTAATTCTTTGACCATTTGATGCTTTTATTTATAGTAATCGACATCAATTATTACTTTCATTATCAATTAAATTATTTATGCGAGCGTAAGCGATACATACAGTAATAGAAATTGCAATTTATTGTATAAAAAATTATTTAGTTTCTTCAGCTGTGAAGCAAACATTGTAACGCTTTTGAACAGAAATGTATATAACATCTAAACACGCGTGATAATCTAGAACGTGAATTTCATGTTATCAGAATGAATTGTTAATTGATAATTATCAACAAAGATGTGAAAAATTTAGCAAATATATTCTAACATATCTGATTATAATTTTGCGTTATTTGCATTGCATTTTGCTATTAATTACGTTTACATATGTTAGCATCCAGTGAAGCGTGTAGCGAATATGTGTTTCTGTTTAATTTTTCACGTCTATAATACTTGATTATCAGAAATTCATTGCAATAATACGAAATTCACGTACTAGATTTGTATATACGCACAATCACTCCTAATATCAATAATGCAACCCGAATTACGCAGAATTATAATCGGATATATTAGAATCGTTAACGGTATCGAATAATTAAAATCATGCTAGATAATTCATTGGGATAGTTCGTACCGCGAACGTATCAAACATCGGTAAACAAATTAACCGTATTTGATGTGATAATATTTGAAACAGGCAGAATTATGTATATGTGTATATCAGTTTTAGACGGCTTAAAAAGGTTATTTCTAATAATAAATATGAATGTAGATTTGCAAAGTAAATTCAATTTACAAATATAATATAATAATAATAATAATACACAAACATACATACAACAATTATTCAATTACTGTTCGAATTTAATTTCTTATACATTCTACAGTGGTTAAATATGTTTCTACATCTATTCTTGATTCAGCTTAGAGATATCATTTCGTATCACGGGTTCGGTTTCAAAATCAAAAGGCCACTTTTCAACTCTTTTGATTATCGTCGTTCCCCGATCGAACATCGAATGGCGTGTAATTCCTGGACGTGCATTTCGCCATGATTAATTCGACTGTCCTTTTCTTTTTTCTCTTTTTCCTTCTCGACACGTTGAATCTCAGAAAATAAGTCATGCAGGCTTTACCACGCTTAGACCCGCGGAATTCCTCCAATAAAAAAGTAATTCCGCCGCGACGAATGGTTTTCCATAGGAAACCCTCGTGCCTCTGATAATGCCTCCGTGGAACGGGAGTGCTTCAATTTAACTTAAACCTGGTAACAATACACCGGGAGACACCGAACTTTCCCGTGGTCACATTTTTCATGAAGTTCGAGACGAGCCGAGAATAATTCACGTGAGAACCAGTTCGACCAGAGAAGGAAAGGAGGGAAGTAGTATAACCCTTGAACACGGGCGAGCTGTGCACATTGCATCTATTATGAAGCAAACGATAATCTGTCGCAATTTTGTACATTTCGAAATTTCTTAAAATTGTAGGATTTTAGGTATTACAGTTACTTGTAGGTACTTGGTAAATTGTAGAATCACGCATTGGTCGTTGAAAACGTCAAGACGAATTTTTTGAATTTTTTCGAATGTCATCTACTTCGTGACTAGAAGTGCTGTCGTTAAGGTCAACTCGTCAGGAGTTCAAAAAAAACGGATGTTTTTTTATTTTGTGAATTTTATGAATTTGTATGGAGTTATACATGTTAAATTGAATTGAATATGCCTGTTGAGGTCAGAGCTTGAAGTTTGTTGAACTACAAACGAGCATCAAATTTTAGTAAATGTTTCTATAAAACGAACTTCGTCCTAGTGAAATAATATGAAAGATATAAATTGGAAAGTACAAACGTAAACAATGAACCGCAAAATTATTAACAACGATTGACACAATTTTAATTGCAACAATCACTATTTTAGAATAATATATAAGAATACTAGAATAATATAAGAAAACTATTTTAGAATAAAGAAAATCTATCGAATGTAGAATGTCAAAATTTGGCTAATTACAAGAAA